AGAAATTAAAAATTAATTCAATATAAACTCTCTTTATCTTAACAAAAGCAGAAATAATTATCGAACAACTACCGCCAGTTGATCCCATTTAGGCTGAAAAACAGCGCTATTTAAAATAACAACTGAGATCTGAGATCCGATGGGCCGTAACGATATCTGAGAAATTGCTAACTGTTAACTGAGATTTCAGCACACCCACTTGAGACGCTTTGAATATGTACATTTCTGTACATTAGTATTTTTGCCGCCTCCATTTTGTCGGCTCTAGTATAATTAATGCTGCAATTTTACGCTGTGGAAACTATTTTTGGGTAGCTCTTAGCTATCTCTGAATTGCTTGTTTAATGGTTCCCTGTCATAAAAATAACTAACCTAGCTAGCAAATCAGAAATTAAAATAAGAGAATAGCGAAGAAAGCCATGTAGCTAGGTAATCATACCGTAAAATCGACGAGCAACTGAGCTGTATGCAATCCAGCAAATGAAAAAACTGTGATCACAGTGAGTGTTCGATGTACTTCCTACGAGACAACACGAAGAATCGTTATTTGAGTCAAACCTCAGTGCCAGAGGAATTGAATGGAATCTTCATTTATCGAAACAAGAAAATTCGACGTTACTAACCGACGCAGCAAAAAATCTGTCCAGCTTAAGGAACTCCGATCTGTAGACGAATAAATGCAAACAGTTGATCTTGCATCGAAACTAAAATGCTTTCATAAACTGCCTTAGCCAAACGAGGCACATGAGTGATTACGTCACGTGACGTCTTTCATTTTCTTTGCAATACATTGAGTCATGAAGACTAATTACCATGTGGGACGACTCAGATCAGCGGTTTTTGCTGTTACTACATGCAATCGACAAGTAAAACAACATGCAGGGATGTAAGACATGGTAATCAGATTCAATCTATTGCAAATATATCTTGCCCTAGTGTGGCTGATTGCTCCATTAATGGATCAGTAAAAACTACACTCGGTGCATATACCTTGAGTTTTGCTTCTGAACGCAAGAGATGTTGTAAATAAATTGCACCGTGATTCTTCATGCGATGTTTGTATGTATAATTTCGTCAGTGGAGTGAATTTTGGCTGGAATTTTTTTGCAGGATTTTATTGTTGCGGATAGCGAAACAAACGTAAAAATCCCAAAATGCGGAACCCGCAAAAAATTTCTTGTCACGTGATATCAGCACCAGAACATTTGCCAGCCGACAGAAATAATTTTAGCGACAATTTTGTGGCTAAAAAATAAGCTATCTCAATTTTTTTACAAAACTAACGAAACGAAACTAATCGAATTTTTGAAACCAAAAGATAGATATTTTTCCTTTGTCATATTCTATCTTAGGCTACAAAATCAGAAATGAAAACAGTGCGGATGAAAGTTTGCAAAGTTGACTCAGTTCTATCGTCTTTATTTTTGTAAAGAAATATCAGAAAAGACAAGTCGAGTAACGGAAGGACATCGTTATCTCCCCCTGCATTTCCTTGGAAAATCGCTGCTGTATTGCAAAGAATTATCTATAAAGAGTCTATATTATAATTAGTGATATTGAAATATATGTGAATGACATATGATATAAACACTGCAGTGTAAGTGAATATTTGACTATGGTTTCTTGGGTAAACAATGCTTTGCTTTGATTTATGCCATGTCCATTTATCGTTTTTAAACATTATTTTTATGAAAGTATGGGTGTCACCAACCGAACGATCAGTCAGAATTCAGTCAACTGCTGGTTTTCACTGCAGAGTACAAGTACTGCAGCTTTGTAATTTCTGATAAGTATGTCGAGTAGAAAGTGTCGCGCTGGCAAAATACAGATCACGTAATTTGAAATTAAGAAATTGAGAGACATATTTTTTGACAGAACTGATCGATAAAGGAATTGTTTTTTGTTTTTTTTGTCCCTTGGCTTTTCTTTTCTCGCCACAAAATCGAAAATTAGAAAAACAATCCAAAACACAAAGGGCTTAGACACTCATAATGTACCTTTATTTACTACGCATTGTTTTGTGATAATATTGGCCTCGACTTCAACTTTGGGACACCGATTAGGGTACATCGCCTGAGAGCTCTCCTTTGTTATAGCATATCGTCAAGGGCGCAATTTACCCTCCCCTCTCTCTTAACACCGTTTACCTACACAATTTCACACAAGAGCGAATATACGGTAACTGTATTTTGATCATACATTGAATTAAGGCCCAGTTCCGGTTCCTAGCAGCTCAGGGGGTTTTTTTTTGCAGAAAATGTTCAAGTATAAATGATGAACCAAAAATTATTCTCCCTATTAGGCCCTTTGCAGCTAGGCCACCACGTAACCTACTTTTCATAGCTGAGCTCCGGCGGTGCGAAGGGCCTCCAAGTGAGCTTTAGACTTTAGAAAGAGAACCAAATGCATGCATAGAGACCCATGCAACTCATTTTCTATGGTCAATATGGCTAGCGGTATGGATCGCGGGCGCGTGCGCCCGACGACGACTAAAATGACGTCGCGCAACATGGCGGCCTTACTCCAGCTAATACCAAGTCTTGGTTTACAGCGTACATCTTTGATATTGGACATCCATGTTATGGTCAATTGAATTGACACCTGTCGAAACAAGGTCTCCGCTGACCAGTATCACGTTACCATATCGTGGGTTTAGGTTTAGAGCTCATCGAGCTTACGTGCTTTTTTGAAGGTGATCCGTGACCAAGTTCTGGGTTTCGATTGGATTGCTCAATCGAGGTTAACTTGTTGTAATTAGGACCAGGCTGTTCTGAAGCCAGTTAACGCTAACCCAGGATTAAAAGTTAACTGAAGAATAAATTATCCCTGTGTAAAAATATTTTTCACTGCTTCTGTTTTGCGCAGTTTGAGGTTATTCAAACTCAAAAGAGAGGGGCAAACAATATAAACAGAAAACCTTACCGCAAAGTAACACAACTCAAATCAAACTTCTCGCTTATCCTGGTTTAGCTTAATCGGGTTTTGAACAGGAGCTCCGCTTTTACGCTTGGCTAAGTCTACATAATAAAATTACGGGCTATAACATAAAAAAAAACCAGAAATGAAAAAAAGCATGTCGAAAATATCAAAATGGCCAAGTTTGAGGCCCCCTGCTTTAAAGAATGAGATTTTACGTATTTTTTTTTTATAAAATTAAGAAGATTTGTACAGAAAAAGTTGTTGGAGAGCAAGACGTTGCTCTCCAGCGACATTTTCGAATTCCATAGATATATATCTTCTAAATTTTCCGAAAATTCCAACTGTCGTATAAACTTACTCTTTAATGCCAGGGGCCTCAAACTTGCCCATTTTACTATTTTCGATATGCTTTTTCCACTTCTGGCATTTTTAATGTTCTAGCCCATAATATAACAAAGTTTTAGATGCGAAGAGCTTATTCGACTTTCTGTGGCTTAAAACTTCCAAACGTTTGATACCAGAAAGGTAAAGGTTTATGAAACCTTAGAGGAATAAGACTTCATGAGCTCACGTGATCAAGATGGATGTTAGCGGATGTTTTCTCCTGAGGAGTGAAAGAATTTGGCTGCGAGATTGCATCATCAGCCATTATAAAATGGCTCGCTCAATATCTGTCAAAGAGTTTCCATTTTCATCCTCATTAGAAACTGAAGATCAGTTTATCCTTTAAGCCAGAGGAAAGTTGATCATACCTAAATCTCAACCAGTTCGACGTTTTATTTAACTTTCAATGCTGGTTCACAAACAGAAGCATTGAAAAAGACTGCCCAGAAGAGGAATTGCGGCTAGCTATGTATCTAACGGTTTTCATGGTTATACTCGAGAGATTATGTTCCTCTTGTTACACTACATTACTATTCTATTAATCATTAATTTCGTCCAAATTTTCTTCAGCTCACACGTGCGTCCAAACAGTTTTGCCGATGTACTGGCTTTTGGGGATTTCCAGTCGATTAGTTTCTTTATTGAAATCAACACGGCAGCACCTGAAGAGAATTGGTGCGGGTACGCTCCTCGAGTTCAGAGGAATAAGCGTTTCTTTTCCGGTCGCTAAGTCAAGAAAATATAAATATTACACAACGGCACGACTTGAAGTAATTAGTTTCTTCCATGTCATACCCTCTTTCTGACTGTGTTATACCAGGTTTCCTTGCGATGAACTTTCGCATTTGGCAGCAGAAGTCTTAAAATAAAAATGCTCTTTTTTACTTAGATTTTACGATATAAAACTCAAATAGAGGTTAATTTTTTTTATGCATTTGTCCTCTTGATGTTAAACTTGCTATGGATCCAGTTCTACCACAAAAGCAAAACTTTTAATATCATACTTCACAAAACCATAATGAAAAAAATAACGTTCACCTACTTAAAATCAAACAAACAGTGGCAGAAAGAAAAGAATAGAATATGACAACATCATGCCTTTATAAAGTAAATACCTCTTGCTTTCTCCCTACTGTCAGCTCAAACTTTTCGCTGTAAATCACGGGCGTAATGAGTAGCAGTTTGTCTAAATCATATTGCTCCATTTTCTTGACATCCAGGACCGTGTCAGCTAGCAATATCTGTTATGTATTTGTGGCTTGATTTGCCGAGCTGAAGGTCTCCCAAGTCTTCATGCAGCTTGACTGTTACTTCCATTACTTCTGAGATATCAAAACCAAACTGGCAAGAACTAAGTTTAGGAAAACAAGAGTAGGGCATGATCTCAGGCATCACAATTTATTGATCTCCCCTCTCTCTCCAAGCTAACCTTGTTGTCAGTTTTCTTTTCATAGTTGTTTTTCGCTACTTAGGTAACATGTGGTAGTAGCGAATTTCTCTTCTGTGGACAGAGGCTTATCCACGGTTTCGAAAAGGCAAGTTGGCCCGGCACGAGATGCTAGATCATCCGAAGTTCCCCCTTCCCCTCCATTCACCGGTCCGCCTCTCCCCCCCCCCCTCCCCCATTAACCACTGTGACCGTCATATCTCTCTTTCCCTCTATTTCTCTCTTCTGAGCATTTTCGTAAGGTCGTCCTTACAATCTCACCGCTAGTCATTCAGAAATCTTGAGTGTGAAAAGGCACTGTTTAATATTGAGTCCATACCTTGCTACTTGGGAAAATTTTTTGGTTTTGGTTCCATGACCAGCCCTTCTTCAGTAATCTTTTTGTTGAGCGCCTTACAAAATTCTTCCTCTCCTTCGCCCTCCACGTATTTCTCTAACCCCTCAAGGATTATCAGATCGCTTTTGCCAAAAGGTCGCTTCCATATCGGTCGAACAACGTGTAGCAAGACACAGATGGCAGAAATGAAATTAAGAAATTGAGAGGCACAGTTTTTTAAAATAACTGATCAATAGAGGAGTGGGTTGTCTTAGTTCCTTGGGTTTTCCCATCTAGTCGTTAATTTAGAGTGCTGATGGGACAGCGAGGTCACCATAAATAAGACAGAGAATTAATTAATAAACAAAGTTTATTTCCATTATGGTACAATGTTTACATTAACACTGTTTCTAAGATATCTGTATGATAATAACAAAAAAGGTAATTCAAAAATTTTATATTGGCGAGTATCCTTTAGGTTTAAATGTCTTCTACGTCTCCCACTGATACTTTTTAAAGGTCACTAGTTGTTTAGGAGTTAGGCGGTAACTGGGTATATGAATATAGGTATATAGGTGACAAACATACGCTTTTCAAACTCATTAAGAACCACTGCCTGTAGATATGGCGAATCCGGCGAAAGAACCAAAAATTCCAATTTTCATTTATTTCGTCAAAAAGAACATTTTGGTGGATTATTTTTGCTCAGTCGTCTAAAAATGACATAATTTTTCATAATGCCCATCATAGTTTTTCTTCTAGTGGGTTTAATTTTCACCGGCCGCTCCTTCTTTCTCTACTACTGTCCTGTTAAAATGCTCAATGTTGCATTAATTCCACCTCCCTTCTTGGTTGATTGACAGGCTTTTTTTCCGAACTTTCCAAGATTTCACAAAATTGAAACATTAAGCCATATTTCTCCAGAAAGAACAAAAACATAATTCTCCAAAAAGGTCTTTTTGACGAAATAAAGGAGAATTCGAATTTTCAGTCCTGTCGCCGGATTCCAGTTTTAAATATTTACCATGACGATGTTTTAGATAACTGATCTAAAATTATATTAAGTTTGCCACAACAATGCTTTAAGAGCAATAGCTAGGTAAGGTCATTATAACTCCAGGAGCAAACTCATAAAACCACGTCCACAGGGCCATCATTCAGGGCATGCGCAATCCATAGTCCTCTTCAGTTCAGTCCACTTCTCGTCAGACAAAGCTGTTGAGTAACAAAATTTGCAACCATGAATATCTTGGAGATTCCTCTTTCCTCTAATTCAAAAAGAAACGAAACACATAGTTTTCACATAGTTAATCTCCACGAGGCGTACGACTAGGGCTTGCAATGACATTGCTTTGTGATTTTTGTCCGTCGTATAAAAAGGTTCGAGTCCGTTCCAATTTAGGGGGTAGGAGAGAAGTCAGATGAATCATCAGTGCTTGAAGTATCGATACTCTCCAAAGATTAAGAGCTAATCCATCGTAGCACATTTAACAGTACCCATTTATGTTCCTAGGGGGTTAAGGGCGCTGTATGTGAGAGTCAAGCGTCTTTAGCTACCCGAAAACACAAAACAATGATTCAGTTAAGGATCGACTAAAAAAAGTACAGTGGTATCACGATTTTTGGAAGCTCGAAGGGAAGCGGAAGTTGCTTTAAAAAAATTGGGTAGATCGACAAATCAGGAGCAAAATTACAGAGTTCGACAAAGTGGAGGGAAACGACACTGTAGACGCATTAGTTTAATAACTGAATCTTGTATTCTTACTATCAAGTGCATTGAACACGATTCCATAACTCTGAACGTCTTCCTTTGAGAGAGAAGTCAGATCCAACATGGTGGAATCCTCGGCGCAAGGAAGGTAGACTTGTCTTAGAAAAYCACAMTCTTCTTCTATTAACGGTTCGTCAAGCGTCAACTTGTGTTGGTCTGTGCTCAGTGACCGTTCAAACTGTTGAAAAGAGTTATCTGTATAAGCTGTGAGGGATTACTAGTTGAATAACAAGATAGTTATTTGAAACCATAAAAATTCGGTCAACGGAAGCTTTCTTATCATACTCAAGCTGAGTCTAGGAAGATAACTCAACATCTCTTTTTGGAACTTTCTCTTTCAGCTAAACATAGAGTTTGAAGCTTCAGCAAGGTTTCTCTGGAACTTCTTCAACAATATGAAGAGCAAGCAACAAGACTTAGGGAATGGCTTGTTTGCCAGCAGAAGAAAATAAACAGATAGACAGAAATTAACCAACCAAAGCTTCTAAAGCTAATTACTTGTTTTTTTCACTCACCCAGTGTAGATACTTGCTGATTCGAGCTTTGCGTTGTGCCCTGTCCGTTCCAGGTAGCAGTAGTTCTTTCTCTATAGCTCGCAGTTTTATCGCATCTTCCACTGCATACTCTAATTATAGAGATAAAGAAAAACTACCTTGGCTGGAAACATTATGTACAAACTCTTACATAAAAACTCTTAGATTGACCATTATCAGCGTCAGCATGTGTTAGTTATTGTTTTGTTACTGAGTAACATCATTAAATGCCTGCTCGATATAATTCACGTCAATTTGTTGCTGTTGTACTAAAACATTGAAGCTGTGTATTGACTGGAGAAATAATGAAATCGATTTAATTGCCAAATGCTTCAAACGGGGAATGCATAAGTCAAGGCATTGTTTAGTGATGCACTGCACGCGACTTTTTCTTAAAACTAGAAGAAGGCATTTGCAGGAAACAAATAAAGGCATATTAATTTTGGAAATGGTGTTTCTTCTCTGGTAGCGCTAAATTTAATGACTAAATGATGATGACTGGCAGATGACACGTCATTGAAGTCAAGTCCGTTTAATTATACATATGCTAATCTCACCTTGGGAATCAATCTCGTCCAAATTGCAGTTTACAATGATGTCATAATACTCGCCACCTTCCACGTTGGGTGTGGATTCTGCGTTTCTACGGTGACACACAGTTTTACCGATATATTCTCCTTTGGGAAACTCCAGTCGATTGGTTTTTTTGTTGTAGTCAACACGGCACGATTTGAAGAGCAGTGGTCCTTTAATATTCCTCTCCGCCCCCTCTGGGGGAGTTTTTGTCGTCTTAAAACCTGCGCTCCCATACACAATGCTGGCGGACCACGGCAAAGGCCCTACGACTGCGTTACCTTCCCGCTGCAAATCAAGTGGACAATATGCTGAGGTTAGGGAACGATCATCATT